GGTAGAAGAGAGACCAAGTATATAATTTCTAAGAAATTGGTCTTTTGTTTCAAATGTAGGAACATCAGCCAAGGAATGTAAGTAAGGCAACTCATGTAACATTCCATAAGGAGATAATCCTACATCCTTCTGGGGAGCTGTTTTAATCCTTAATAAAGAAATAGGAGGACATTTGGCGCATGACAATTGAGTTTCTAAGATTAGTTTAGTTAAATGATTTTAAGGGTTTCATTCATTCTTCTACTCTTCCAGAGGAAGAGGGATACCAGGGAATATGATACTCCCATTTGATATCTAATACTTGAGCTAATTTCTTGATTATGAAGCAAAATATGTTCTATTGTTGAATCAATATTTTCTATCAGTCTAAATCTATGTGTAATATGCTCAATTAATGACTTCACTACATTACTAGTAGTGGCTTTTGAAAAAGGAACAGACTCTACCCACGGGGTGAAATAATCTACTATTACTAGCAAATATTTTAGCCAACTAATGGGGCATTTCAGTGTAATCAACTTGAACACTCTGGAAGGGTCTCAGCTTCAGAGTTCTTCCTCTGAGAGGTCGTTTTCTTAGTGCCTGTTTATTGGTTTTCCTGCAAGTTAAGCAACTATTCATGACCAGTTTGGCTAAGGTATAAATTCCAATACACCCATAAACTCTCAGAGCTCCAATTCTTGCTAGTTTTTCTTACTCAGCTTGTGAGAAAATAGGAACTATAGTAGAAGGAGGAGGACAAGGAGTTAAATGAATAATAGGTGTGTCAGAAATAGCAGCCTTCTTGGCCACTTGATCTGCAAGATTATTTCCTCGACTTTCAAATGAAAAATCATGTAAATGTCCAGGAACATGAACAATAGCTATTTATTCTGGAAACTAGAGATTATTTAGAACATGGACAACTAATGTCTGCTGAGCAACATCTTGGCCTCTACTGTTAATAAGACCTTGCTCAGCCCAAATTTTCCCAAATGTGTGAGATACCCCAAAGGCATAGTTAGAGTCAGTGTAGATGGTTCCTATCTGGTTTTCTAAATATTTTAAAGCCTGACTGAGTGCAAATAGTTCACAAGCCTGAAAAGATGAACTATTGGGTAACCTCCTGATTCTGCTTCCTTAAGAGTTTCCCCATCAATCACTGCTCTTTCTGCACTAATTAAATGGCCTAAGTATTTGACTTCAGGTTCCACATGTTGGAGCTTTCCTATATTTTACTCCTATGTTTTCTAAAGTTTTTACTTTAAATCCCTCTCCTTTTACTCAAGAAACCAGCAATTCCGCTAGAGAGCAATTTACATCTGCTGGGGGAAAACAAACAGATGAATGAGCTGCCTAAGGAGAAGGTGGGGCAGCTGCCTGAGGAGGAGGTGGGACAGCCGCCTGAGGAGGAGGTGAGTTTGGATTGAGAAATGGGGAAAGATGGTCTAAAGTGCCCCACTTATGGGCTCAGTTCTTGTTTGGTTTGAGGCAAGGGCAAGGAATACAATTCCTTCAACCCATTCAGGCCCTATTCTTCAGATGATTTAACCTCTGACTTTTTGTCACTGTTTCCTTCTTTAAATCCTTTAAAGGGTAAAGGAGAATAGGCCTTTGTTGCCTACATAGGGCATAGCCTATCTCTTCCTGTGAGACAGGCCTCTTGTTGTTAACATACATTATTAAAAATTGACAGACCCAATTCTCATCTGACCCAAATTTGGCCAGAAAACCGCAGGCTTAAGGATTGATTCTTGGGTCCAAATAAAACAGCAATATTTTATCATTTGCTGCATTTTCTTATGTTTAGTCCTTTCATTGTCCTTTCAATAATTTAGCATGAGCCCTAAAAAGCTGTTAAAGGGGATTCAATCAGCCTCACCCTCTTTCTTTTTTTCCTGTTTTACTTCCCATCCCCACTTTACTAGGAGCATTCCCCATGTTGGGTATCAGATTGGCCCAGTCTCTCACACCAGAGATGTCTCACGTATCTTTTTCCTCTGGGAGGCTCAATCTCTCAGACCAGAGATGTCTCGCCTATCCCTTCTCTAGAGGTTTGCCAAGGCTCAATCTCTCAAACCAGAGATGTCTCACCCATCCTTTTTCTAGAGTCTCACTAATACTTAATCTCTCAAACCAGAGATGTCTCACTTATCCTTTTTCCTGGGAGACTAGCCTTCCTTCCCTTCCCTGGAGGTCTCCTACACTTCTCTTCATTCATGTCACCCTCTCTGGCTGCTCCCCCAGAGAAGAATTAGGCCCCTCTTAGCATCGGTGTATCAGTATAAGCCCCATGGCAGATCTGCCCTAAGCCATATGAGGTATCCAAGGAACTACAGAGAGGACCTACTCACTCTGTTCAGCAGTAGGACTTGTTGCCATTCACACAAGCAACACTGCATGCTGTGATGCTTGCAACCATTCATGCACACACACACAAACACACACACTCTCTACCTCCAGAATATCCCAACCACCAAGTAAACATTTCATTACTCTTGTGACTTATCTCACCTTGGTCTGTGCACAGAAGTTGCCTGGTTACCACAGTATAGCAAGCCATTCTTCCCCTGCATTGCTGAGAGTTCTTCTTTAATTCTCAAACCAGGTGGCTTGTGGCTCTTGATCCCTGAAGCCACAACAATGAGGCAGTAGGATGCCTCCTCACGAGAGAGAGCCAGAGACTACCCCAGAGGGGAGTGGGTCCCCATATAGGCTACTAGAATTGTTATATGTAAATTTTCGGTGCTGCAAAAAAAAAGTAGCATTCAAATATAAATTTTCTCTCAGCAAGGCGACTTTACTTTCTGCAGAAAAGGTACACTTACCAGCAGTTTGCCATGAGAGTACAAAGAACAAGGAAAGCACAGACATATTTATCCCTTATGGACTGGCCTCTACTGCTGTGCCAGGCCTACCTCCATTGGCTGGAGCTGGGCCTCACAATCTAAAGCATACCAATTGGCTAATAACTCAAAACTTTTTCTGAAAGTATAAAGGCAAGAGAGAACAAAGAAAAAGAGGAAGTCATTTATGAAAGACTTAAAGAAGCAATAACATTTCCAAATAAGGTAGGGGAATTAACTATGAGCTGAGACATGCCTGGGCTTATCCAGACATGTCACAGGACAAATATGTGGGCTACAGTATAAGAACCAGGAACACAGAATATACCTATTTCTTTATTATAACCAACAGCTACTTAGGATTATTAATAAAAGTCTTTCAAGTAAATCAACCTTTGAAGAAGCTATTATTCATCCTTAATAAGCTAAGAAGAAAGCTTTGAAGAGGAACTTCTATTCACTTTTATTTTCTACAGAGTCTTCTCACTTTTTACTTGGGTATTCTAGCTAAAAGTTCATCAATTTTCTGCATCATTTCAAATATCAACTCCTTTTTTTGATATTTTGAATTACTTCCCAGTCTCTATTGCATTTATTTCTGTGCAGAAGTTTATTATTTTCTTCTTTGTATTAATTTTGATTTTATTTTTTCTTGTTTTTACAGAAGTGAGAGTTATTCAATTATTATTTTAGGCAAAACTTAAGAATGAATCAATATTGAACTGAATTTTTGTTTATGCTTCCACCAGCAGTTCAAGGTGTACTAAAGATAAAAAAAAATCAATCCAAAGTTCAGAGTCTTAGTACATAATTGGTGAGAACCTTGTACTTTGTCTTTATAAAATCTTTAGACTTTTCACAGAGCACATCAATGGATCTCTTTATCATTCTGGCCATTTGTCTTTCTTGTCTGATTCTTCTTTTTCTGTGGAATGGAAGCAATACCAAAGGGAAACTCCCACCTGGCCCAACTCCTCTCCCCATTGTTGGAAATATTCTACAGTTAAATAGTAAGAATATCAGCAAATCCATAAGCATGGTAAGTATGACTAATTTTCTTTTAGTTTTCTGCAATGAGTAAGTCAGATAGCCTGATAGCCAAGTAACATATGGTGCCAGATACCAAGTTTTAAAGAGATGCCTTTACAGAGAGGTTCATTAGACACACAGATATGACTTTAGAGTGTATACAGATAGAAGAAAATGAGATAGGTGAATCTAAAAGAAATGAAGAAATCTGCAAGTCAGAAGGAAATAAGTGTTTGCTCCAGAATGGAGGTTTCAACTGGAAAGCCGTTATAGACTATACCAGCTAAGAGGAATATTGGGACTTTCATTTACAAAGGAATTCATTTAGATTATATAAATTGTTTGTCTGTTTAATCCACCAGTGAAGTAATCTAACAATGCACCATCAGTCATTAGTACAAGGGTGCATTTGTATCAGTATATCAGAAACAACTTATATACAAAGTATTCTGAAAGATTAGGACCAGTTTTCTTGTATATGTCGAGAGCCCAGTTGTTTGTGAAGAAAATGTTTTTCATAATTCCTTATTGATCTTAAAGTTTATCAGCAGTTCAACATGGCAGCAGTTGCCCAAGATGGGAGTCATTCCTGCCACCACTGGAACATTGCAAAGATCATTGATCCATGTTATGATTGTTGACATTACCAGGAGCAGAAATTCTCTGTTGATATTGTAATCCAGGTTGCTTTTTCTGTAACTATTTTTTGGTAAATGTTAGTGAAAATGGAACAGCTTTCAGTTTTTTAAATAAGCACTGATTTACAGAGCCATAACACTAAATTTTCCTAAAGTACAGATGAATTGAAATCAAGGAAATTACTAAGGGTTTATATCTTTCATATTTCATACTGTAGTTCTCAATAAATGAGTCAATGACTTCTCTGCTCCAAGTTGTTTACATAGCAGTTGCTCTCTAAAGCCTGAAGGAATGATCTGGAATCTGTCTTTTCCTTGAGAAAGCCAGTTACCAGAACACTGTCTCTGGAAGTTCATTCTTCCTATGCCTTGGCTTCGAATCTAAAGAGACTGTGTCAGCACCCCAGCTTGTCCATTTGTTAATTCACATATTTAAGCAGGATTAAAACCTCTGTAAGCTTTAAATTCCATTTGTTTAAGATATAAATACGAAATATTTTGCATGGGTTACTTAAGTATATCATATATTGAAGAAGTAATTATGCACCACACTTTGTGTGGTGCATGCCAAAGATTTTCAATGGTGAAAGAAAATTTTAAAAGACCCTATCATTATGGAACTTACAGTTTAGATGAGAAGAATATATTCATGAAACAACAATGCAAGTAAAGTTATGATTACAAACTATGTAACAGGGACATGGTAGAAAGAGACCCTGTAGTTTCAAGGGACTAACCAGTTAGAGGAACAGTCAGCAAAGGGTTCTCTGAGGAAGTGAAGTTGGAGCTGATATGTAAAGAATGATTAGGAATTAAACAGATAAAATATCAACAAAACCCAATTTCACATGTTTTCAATCCGGGGGAGAATTGCTTCTGTCAATGCAAAGAGTCAAATTGCAAAATATATGAAGAGATTTATTCTGAGCAAATATGAGTGACCATGGCCCATGACACAGCGCTCAGGAGACCCTGAGAACATGTGCCCATGGTGGTCAGGGCAGGACTTGATTTTATACATTCATACATTTTAATATATACACAGGAGACACCAGTCAATACATTTAAGATATACATTGGTTTGTGCAGAAAGGTGGGACAACTTGAAGCGGTAAGTTGAGGGGGTGCTTCCAGGATATCAGTAGGTTTTAAAATTTTCTGATTGGCAATTGGTTGACAGAATTATTGTCAATAGAAAGGAATATCTGGGTTATGATAAGAGGTTGTGGGGACCAAAGTGTTAGCATACAGATGAAGCCTCCAGACAGCACTCTTCAGAGAGAATAGGTTGTAAAAGTCTGTGTTGATGTTAAATGCTGGTCAGCTTTTCTTGAATTCCAAAAAGGAAGAGGGCAGAATAAGGCATGTTCAAGCCCTCTTCCCATCATGGCCTGAATCAGTCTTTCAGGTTAAATTTGGAGGGACCTAGCCTAGAGGAGGAAGTCCATTTAGATTGCTGGTGGTTAAGAGTGGGCAGGCTTGGTTGGCGGGGCCGGGGGGAGGGCTTTGAATTTTAATTTCAGTTTACACTTCTCTCCCCAAAACCCTGAAAAGAGGATGAATATGTTTGTAGTCCAGAGAGTACGTAAGAATATGATACAAACTGAGAGCAGAGAGGGAAGCAGGGGGCAGAACATGCAGGCTTTGCATGAATGTAAAGAACACTTGTTTTTATCATAAGAGCAATGTGATGCCATAAACATGCTTAAAGGACAGTCATGTTTACATCTTCCTTGTGAAAAGGTCACTATTATTTGTAGAATAAATTTTTAGGGCAGCAAAAAAACTTCTACAATAGACACGTTAAAAGAGTGTAAATCTTATATCATTTAGGATACCACATAAGGTGATATTACAGAAAGACGATGCTAAAAGAAGATAGGAGTTTATTTCTGTCTCACATGAGGATCTGTAAGTGACTGCTGGTGACTTGCCTCTCCTCCATGATGTCATTCAGATAACTAGTTTTTTTATTTTAATCTTTTTAGTTCTAGTATTAAAGCAGGAGCGGCAAGGAACAAACCTCTCGAACATCAAACTGAAGAAGGAAGTGGCTTTTTATTCAGCTGGGAGCTGCAGGGGTCTACAGCCTCATTTACTGAGCTTCTGGAGAAGCCGCTTCTTTCCCTTTTTATAGGCTTACAATGCTAAAGGGGAAACTGAGGCAAAACTATGTCATTGTTCATTTGCTGGATGTCCGACCTTACAATCTTTTGGCTTCATTGATTTGCTAATTCATATGCAATATGAGCAGGAACAGACAGGGGAGAGGGCTTACAGAGACAAGACAAAGGCAGTAAATTATTATTTGACAGAGTTATTTCCAGGAAGGAGCCTGAATCATGCAAACATTGGGGCATGACCCAGTGTTGGGCTCCGGCTGGTAATGATAACATTCATTTGCAACTCTTTCAAGGCTTATAGATAGCAGAGACACTAGGAACTGAAAAAGGGGAGTCATCTTCCCAGCTCTTTGATATTTTATTTTATTTTTTCACCCTCCTTACCATCTAGAGGAGAGGAAGAGGTGGAGGTTAGGAAGAGGGAGGAAGGGAGGGGGGTCTTTCCTCTCATTTGTAGAATGAATTTTTAGGGCAGCAGAAACAATTCTACAATAGGCAAGTTAAAAGAGTGTAAATCCTATATCATGTAGGATACCACATAAGCTGATATTACAGAAAGATGATGCTAAAAGAAGATAGGAGTTTGTGTCTCACATAAGGGTCTCTAGGGAGTGCCGGCAACTTGCCTCTCCTCCATGATGTCCTTCAGATAACTAGTTTGTTCTTTTTTTAATCTTTGTAGTTCTATTACCTTGTGCCCCTAGACTGTTTTTCTCATTTGCATGGTCACAGTAGAGGCATATCCATTCTATTATTTCAACGCATAGGTGGGAAAGAAATGAAGGGGAAGCAATTACCTTTTATGCACCAATGTAGAATTTTAACACAACACTTGTGTTTACATCAGTTCATGGAAACTAAGTCATATGGCTGCACCTAGCTTCAAGTTAAGCTGGGAAATATCTATGACCACACTGCTATGTTATCATGCATTATAAAAACATGACACTGTCTGGTGCTAAAAAGAAATTATAGAGAACAATGATGGACAATTATTAGACTACACCTGAGGAAAAGAGATGGGCTTCCCTTAATCCAAAAAAGAAACACAGATTTACTCTAACTGTAAGAAAAAAGGAGAAAGTTGGTATAATTATTAGTTTGGCATAAAAAATTAATAATAGGAACAAAATGCATAATATGCCCCCTGTCATATAGTAGGGGCTGAATAAAAATAAATATTGAATCTGATACACTAATATCATTACTAGTAAAATAATGATAATTACTATTCAAATACTTTTTTCTTATCAAATAATTAGCTCTAAAACATTACATTTTATATAATAGGTAGATGAATATTGAAACATCTTTTCAGCATGATTAAAAATATTTCCCTCACTTATCTACATTTTATTTTTGAAATTCACTCTTCACTTGCATTTGCTATTATTTTTCCAGCTAGCAAAAGATTATGGCCCTGTGTTCACTGTTTATTTTGGCATGAAGCCCACCGTGGTGTTGCATGGATATGAAGCAATTAAGGAAGCACTGATTGATCATGGAGAAGAATTTTCTGGCCGAGGGAGTTTTCCAGTGATAGACAGAATTACCCAAGGATTAGGTATGATTCCCTTTGGGGTATGTGTGTGGGTTTGTAAGTTGTAAAAACTTCAGCAATTCTAAGAAATTGGCAAATCATAAGTATTTAGAAAAATTTATGAAACACATTTTTCATATTTTCTACATGAGGCTAAGAATAATTTTTCTATAAAGTCTCATTAATCTATATTTAAAATTTGTGAAAGTGACGTTGATCCCATTAAACATTAAATTCAATGATAAAAAGCCATATAACAACTAATTTTCTATGAATTCATTACAAAGACAAGTTCATTGTAAATTATGGTCAGTTAAAATAACAGAAAAGCAACAGAGAGATGAGAGAGAGGAGGAAAATTACCAAATTATTGTATTCACCAAATATTTTGCTTCCTGATCTTAGTCATGGATATGCAGAGATTAGTTTAGGAAGCTTGAATTGTGTGCATGGAACCACATGAGTTTGGAAAATGTCCATCTTTACCTTTAAATGTGATTCTAAAAAAGCATGAAAAATATTAGAATCCAAGAGAATACAAAGCACAAAGCAAACGTGTTCTGAAAAGATCATGGAAAAACATATAGTGAGTATGTAGCAGAATTGATACTAGAAAAAGCTTATTTGATTAACTGCTTCAACTTTGTTTTTAAAGCTAGCCTTAAACTGTCCAGTCTTCTGGTGGATCACAGGGTTCTGGCCAACAGAGATATGACCTGAATGGGGTCCTGACCTCTTCTGCATTATTCTCTAAGAGGCTTCCTGTAAAAATTTTATATGAGCTTATTTTCCCCTTGATCTGGTCTTGACTCTGGCAGCCTACTATTGAACTTCTTTCGTGTTTCCTTCCATATTTCATGGAAGAGAGTTAAATAGAGGGGGAATGTTAAATGAGTGAGTTATCTGTTTAGCAACTATACCCCTTATCTGAGGAATGGATTGTTAGGTGATTCCTTCCAAAGAAAAAGTGCAGTCCTCATTATCCTGAGAATTTCCCCCCTTATTGTTTCTCCTAAAATTCACTTACAGTCTGAAAAGCCAGCCCTGAAAATTAATGTATGACTAGGACTCACCATGTTTATTACTGCGGGATCATAGAGCATTTTGACTTTATGGTTTTTAGCATCCTTGTAAAATGGGACAAAACATTCGGTTCACAGAGTTATTTTGAGTTTTAGTGAAGCTGGTGGATAAAGAATAGTTTAGCAATATGCAAAATTGAGAACCCTGACAGTTAAATAGTAGTTTGGGTTAAGAGAGGAGGCAGGTGAGGGAGGGCTCAATGGGAATTCCTGAAGCTGACACCATTATATTTACATCCCTGCTGAAATGTCAGTATTGTTTCCTGAGATGAGAACTCTCAGCTCGTATTCATGACAATGAAGTATATTTTCTCTCTCTTTTTTCTTTTGTGCTGATAGGAGTTATTTTTAGCAATGGAGAAAGATGGAAGCAAACCCGACGTTTCTCTGTCATGGTTTTGAGGAATATGGGGATGGGGAAGAAAACAGTTGAAGACCAAATTCAAGAGGAAGCCTTGTGTCTGGTGGCAGCGTTAAAAAAAACCAATGGTGTTTATTTCTGCATATAATTAACACTAATTGTTTGGGTAGAATAAATGGTATTGTAAATAGACTACAAAATATTATGATGGCTGAAGTATTATAGTTTACTTTTTGCTTATATAACTGTAATTAAGAGGTTAAGTGTTTGGAATAACAGTCTTTTTAGTTACCAGGTTAATTGGGCTTTGATACCTTCAGCAAATGTCTTTCAGTGTCATCGATGGCTCACCCCTCTGTGTGACAGAGGAAGGAGAAATGGGGAAGTTGAAGAGCAAATACTATTTAGGCCATGCATAGAAGTCGTACACGTAACTTCTCTCATATGTACCACTTAGTAATAGGGCTACACCTAGCTGCAAGAGAAGCTGGAAAATGTGGTTTGCTCTGTGCGCACAAAGAGGACATGAATTTTGGCAGTCAGCTAACAGTCTTGGCCATATAAGCTTAAAAAATTAGGTAACTTTTCTAGTAAATTATTTAAGAATAGTGCAGGGGTTGCTAATTACCTCCAAAGTGTAGGGCTGCAATTCACCTCTCATAAAGGAGTGTGGATATGAAGAAATAGAACCACGGCAGCACAGATTCCTGCAGCATCTAGATATGTGTGTCCACATGCAGGGCTGAGAGAGGAGGTAGGGAAGAAAGGAGCAGGCAGGGCAGGTAAGGGGTAGGATCAGCATCATAAGATATATGTGGTTTTATAATCTCATACATTGAATGAATATTTTTATGTGTTTGTCAATGTTTTTCAAGAACATTATTAGCTGGATAGTAGAGGATAGTCCAAAAATCCATTATTTTGGACTTACCTGAGTTTATTTAACTAATCCTCTATTTTGTCCAGATAAGTTGATTCTAGTTTTCCCTGCTCTTAATATACAAAAGTGCAACCCATATTAATTGTTTTAAATGTCTGACTACTTTGATTTTCTTTTTACATTATTTAGTTTTCTGTTGGCATTGCGAGGATGCATCAACACCGACAATTAAATCCCATACATTAAAAGATATTTTAAATGGCCTCTTTTTATTTTGTATATCTTCTTGTGAATTAGAACATTTTCAAAAATGATATAAATAGGAGAGCCTTTTGGGCAAATTTATATAAGTAAACTTGTCTGGATTAGACAGTTTTATTTGGAGAAACACAATGCATTTTATTTTAGGCATTTGAAGTTTATAGCAACGGTGGCATGTTCAGGTAGTTTCTATTCCTAAGACATCTTACAAGTCAATCATTTTGAACTATTTTAAACAGTCATTATTAGATTTATATGAAAATTATGTACTAACTTCTGACTGGTATTATTTATAGCATCTCCCTGTGATCCCACTTTTCTTCTGGGTTCTGTTCCCTGCAATGTGATCAGCGCCGTCATTTTTCAGAATCGTTTTGACTACAGTGATAAGAAATTTCAAACCTTGATCAAGTATTTCAATGAAAACTTTGAAAATGTGAGCACCCCTTGGATACAGGTAAGCTCAAGCTTCTTTTTGAATGTGTAATAGTTTTCTAGCTTATCTATTGCTCATGCCTACCCCATCTCTCTGCCCTATTTAAAAATGTTCAAAGTAATGCTTATCAAATTCTCATTTGCAGTCCATTAGTGAGTTGTCAAATCAGTCTAATGCAATAAAACTGAAAACACAAAATGAGATAGAATAGAAAAAATATGTAATTTCAGAGTGCTTCATTTATAGCAAGATTTGTTTTGTTAAAACTTTTGTTGTTTATTTAGATCCTCAGATATAGAAGGTAGTGATTTAAGATGTATTTCTTATTAAAGTACACCATCAGAAAATGTTAGTAACCTGTGTTTTACAATCATTAACAACTAAAATTCTATACTGATCATCAAGTTATGATGTGTCCTACCTTCAAAGGACCCTAGAGAATAAATAATCTAATGTCTCTCATTTACTAGAATGGGAAACTGACCCAGAGCTATTAGGTATATTTTCCAAAATAGCCTAGCTAAATCAATAAACAAGCAGAATCTAGAATCTAGATTTCCTGATTTCATATCTAGTTTGATTCAAGCTGCCAGCCTGAATATATAATGTTGATGCCTTCCAAGATTATTCGGTCATTTGGGTATTGTCTAAAGCATATCCTGTAATCCCTAGGACCAGCAAAAGAATAAGTCTGGAAAATATGCACATTCTTCAGGTTGGAATGCTTAAATATTCTAAATATTCTCTCTCTCTCTCTCTCCACACACATACACACACACACACACACAAACACACACACACACACACACACACACACACACGGAAGTTCCCAAGTCACTTAGCTTATATATATATATAGATGTACTATTTCTTCATTATAACAAATGAGTATGAGTCTTCATAAATTGTTAGACTAACCCCTGGTAAAACATGTATTGGGTATACTGGTATGAACAGAGGGTATTAGCTCTGAGATCACTAGTTTGGTGTGGTCAGATTGTTAATTAACCTTATGAACTTCAATATCCTCATTTGAAGAGAGGTGACAACAAGGGTAATTTCCTGACTTCCTTCAGAGAGTTATGGTAAGGAAATTAATATGATTGACCTTGAAGTTGCTTTGTAACCTGTGCATACCATCTCTACCTACTTTTTCAGTGCTCTGTCCTTCAAATTCTGAATGCCTTCTTGGGCAGAAACCATGTCTATTCATCTTTTTCTACTTAGCATATAGCCAGTGTCTGATAAATAATAAGGGCCTGTGTTTAGTGAACAAATTAATGAAGGATTCTTTTTTCTTTCAGCTCTACAATGCTTTCCCCTTTTTACGGGTTCTCCCAGGAAGTCATAATGTGATATTTAAAAACTATGCCTTGCAAATAAATTTTATTTTGGAGAAAGTAAAAGAACATCAAGAATCTCTGGATATCAGTAATCCTCGAGACTTTATTGACTACTTTCTGATTCAAATGGAAAAGGTATAATGTTATCCTGATTTGCTATTTTATCATTGTGGGTGACATGACTCCCGGATATGCTTTGGTTTTTCTGGTAAAACTGAGATATGAAAACGAATTCTCTGTTCTAAAGTGTATTCATTGTTCATCCTATTACCTGTGCTGTATTGAGTGTCTTGGGATATTTCTAAGTTCTCACTTTAAAAGACTTAAGTTTTATGTTTACCGTGTTAAAGCTGGTTCTTTATCTGGGGGCAGATCAAAACACACAAACACACAAAGCACACCTCCATTCAAGACTGATGATAACATATCATGGTTCCGTGAACAGAAGATGTAACTAATGAGGGAACACAGAAATGGATAGTACCCAGAAAGGCTGACTTTTGAAAATCTCTAAGAAATATTCATTCACAGATGAAGTAGATCTGAGGAAACTCTTAGATAAACAGGGAGGAGAAAATAGTTCCAGGAGATGTTGAGTGCAGTAATCAAGCTTGTGAACTTTTCAAAGAGGCTATCTTGATTGTAATTGAGGAATAGTGGTGGCTGGAAATAGTGCTGTAGTTTGGGTGTGTTTAGTTCCAGAAGCTTTTAAATGAAAAATTAGACATGATGAATAGACAATAGATGCTAGAGTTGACAGTGATTAGCAGTGATGACTTAATAAAAAGTATGTTTAAAAGAAATTACAAAGGAACTGATTGGCTCCAGTGGGTAAGAAAGTGAAGAATCAGAAAGGACTTGAGATTTTATAACTCCAATTATATTTTAACAGAAATCCTAACAGTTCACTTTACATAATCTTTACCCATAGCACACCCTAATGTCTGGTTTAATTTGCCAGGTATTAATGTCATATTGAACAGTGTTGTGTTACTTGACAAGCTTTTTATTTATTAAGTAATTTTAACATGTTGTTGCTAGGAAAAACACAATAAACAATCTGAATTTACTATGGACAACTTGGTTGCTACCATATGGGATATGTTTAGTGCAGGGACAGAGACAACGAGCACCACATTGAGATACGGACTCTTGCTACTGCTGAAGCACCCTGAGATCTCAGGTATGATCAGAGATGATGGGCAGGATCAGCTTTAAGGTAGAAAGGGACAGAAAACACTGATAGCCATCCCACCATTTACCTGCCAACACAATGTACAAGAAAAGTTCTCATTAGTGCAGCTACCTACCATTGGGTGGGTTCAATTCAAGTTAGTTCATAGTATAAAAAGAGAATAAAATGTTTAATGACAGAGATTTGAAGGACAGAGGTCATTATTCTCCCTGCTATGGTGTAGTATTCTTGATTTGGGTTGGAACAGTTGCAGTAACAGAGCTGTCTCAGGATCTGGAAAGAACTAGCCTCTCTCATTCCCTCAAAAATTCTCACTTGTGCCTTCCATGTTTAGATAAATATGTTTTCATCAAAAGATATTTCTACAAAATGCATCTGCAATGTAGGGATTCATTCAATAAAGTTAAAAACTTTCTCCACCAAACGACTCAATCTCAAGGGTCATATACCCTCTCCCATATTATTTTCTAGAAAACCCTTTTGGATAGACACATTTTTCCTCATAAATATAACTTCTCTTTCAAATTTAACTTTTTCATTTTTCCACCTCTTTTTTACTGAGTCTTCATCTAAGAGGATGTTTCTTTCACTACTGTATCATGGTTTTTGATTTGGTGCATTGAGACATATTTAATTTGATTAAACCTCATGAAGTTTCCATGATATCAGCACCAAAATTTTCCCCTTTGTTTAAGGTTTTTTTGCCTTCTCATTATAAACAGGAGATGTTTTCTGAGTACTGAAATTTAGAAGCATATCTGCAAATTTATTTTGCGACATTGTGAGATATGGTGCTTCTCTTTTTCTTTCATTTGACCCAGTCTTTGTTAGCCAGATACTTCCCTTTTATAAGACCTATGTTGATTATGACCATAATTTGCATATGACATTCCTCTCCAAACCTTTCAATCTTTTGCACATTGCAAATACTCTGTGTTATATTCCTTATCACTCCCAGTTTCATTTTCCAGTTGGACGTTTTCTTAAGTCATGTCCACATGTATTTTTCTTTCCTTTCTATCCTCATCTTTTACTATGCTATTCTATCGAGCATTTCAATTGTATTACTAGTTCCTGACCACTTTATGTCTCCCCTGTCTTCTAAATAAAATTCCAGCCTCTCAGCCTGAGAAGGGGATACTTAAAACGTGCCTCAAATTTGTTTTATTTTTGATAGCTATCAAACTACAGAATTTGCACATGCTCTATTACAAAGACAGATCCTTCAGCTAGTACATAAATGACATTTAACTAAAGCAGCAGTGTGGCATTGTTATTTTGAAAAATGAGTTATAGACTTTAATAGCAGTGGATTTAAATTCTGATCCTACTAATGGATGGCTTGTTTGACCTGCAGACACATGACTACTCTCCATATCTCTGATCCCTTATCTGTTCAAAGGGGAAAGACCTCATATTCCCTGAGCATTCCGAGGAAACTTTACTTCTCTGGACTTTTTTCTTTGTAAAATATATAAAATAATACCTGACACATAGAATTTTTTTAAGAATTATAAGGTAATACAATGAATAGTGCAGTATGTTCATCGTATATTAATACTTTCTAAATAAATATTCATTTCTTAATTTTCTGTGCTGAATCAAGTAAATATTTTATGTTTTTCTGTTTGTTAAGCATTTCCTGGGCTACACTGTGTAGTTCTTAGATTATCGAAACTTAAATATTTAAGATAAAATTGGCATATATAAAGTGGTTGAACTACATGATCTTCAGTGATTCTTCAGGATCCCAGATCTTTGAATCTGTCAAGAAAAAGTACACAGAATAGAGAATCAGAGTTGAGAACTGAATGTTATCATGCAATTGTACTTCATACCTGCATATATTTAAGTATCTAATGAACTTTCAGTTTATCCAAGAAATGCAAACTTTTTTTTTCATTCCTGTGGAGGTGGTAACATAATTTTCTATCTGCCCATCTCCAATGACAATGGGACAGTGATGAAAGGATGAAACAAGTGGTACTTCAAGTTTTTTTTCATTTCACATAAATTCTGATTCCTGCCTTGCCAGCTAAAGTGCAGGAAGAAATTGATCAAGTGGTCGGCAAAAACCGAAGGCCTTGCATGCAGGACAGGAGCCGCATGCCCTACACAGATGCTGTGGTGCATGAGATCCAGAGATATATTAACCTCGTCCCCACCAACCTGCCCCATGCAGTGACTCAAGATACTCGTTTTAGAGAGTACTTTATTCCAAAGGTGAGAGATACTATGTCTATACTCTTCCTTAGGAGTCTTAGGCCATCAAATGTCATAGTGGTAGAACTTTAGATTGCCTAATCTTCTACACGTATGGCACAGTCATAACTCTGGCATCCTATCCTGTGACCACATACTTCTTTCCTTCTAAATGAGTCTTTGATACACATTTCTAAATATGATAGTGCTTAGACTCCCACAGGATTTTCAGTGCTTTGATAGCTCCACACTCTGCCTGTCCATTGGCCCAATGTGCTATCCTGTCCTTTGCTTTCAATTTTATGTTTTATTACTCCCATCAATTAGTCAGTATCCTATATCCCCACCTCCTTCTCTACCTTCCTTATCACTTGTGAAAAGTCCAATACTAAAGTCTCCTTCCTCCCTGCTGATTTTTGGCTACTGATGCCTGCTGGAAAAGACCATGCAGCCCAGCAGGTTGATATTGTTATCAATTCCAAATGTGTTGGCTTAATTTTAATCAATGCCAAATGAATCTTACCCAATAATCCTGCTTTATAATGGTAACTCAACTTGCTCCACAATGACTTTCAACCTAGAACTCTTTTCAATCTTTCATTATCTTCTTTTTATTAGGCAACCTTTTTTTCCATCTCAGTCATTGGAAGTAAACTCTTCCAGTGCCTACTTGGCTACATTCACACCCTTTGATTCTCCCTCATGTCAGTTGCTGTGACAGAAGGGCTGTTTTTTGATCTAGTAGAAACTGTTTTACCTGTGGCATGGATCCCTTCCCTCTTACTTTTCCAATGATCCTCCTTAAATAATTATTTCTTCTTCCTTCCTCTTCATCATCTCCTTTCTTGCTGGCTCCTTTTTATTAGCCTGTGAGCATCATCAATTCTCTTTTTATAATTTATGATTGACACATAATAATTGTACATATTTATGGATAACAACATAATGTTTTGAAACATGTATGTGTTGTGTAATGATTACATCAGGATAATTAGTATCTTGATTACCTTGAACATTTATCATTTATTTGTGATGAGAGTATTCAAGAACCTCCATTCTAGCTATTTTGAAATACATTTGAATTACTCCATTTTCATGCAGCTGATAAAGACATACTGAAGACTGGGTAATTTACTAAAGAAAGAGGTTTATTGGACTTACAGTTCCACTTGGCTGTGGAGGCCTCCCAATCATGGTGGAAGGCAAGGAGAAGCAAGTTGTATCTTATATGGGATGGCAGCAGGCAAAGAGGGAGGCTGTGTGGAGAAACTCTAATTTTTTTTCTTTTTATTGAATTTTAGGTTTTGGGGTGAAGAACATGCAAGATTGTTGCATAGGTACACACATGGCAGTGTGATTTGCAGCCTTCCTCCCCATCACCTATATCTGGTATTTCTCCCCATGCAATCTCTCCCCAACTCCCCATGCCCCACTGTCCCTCCCCTATATCCTCCTGACAGACCCTAGTGTGTGATGCTTCCCTCCCTGTGTCCATGTGTTCTCATTGTTCAACACCCACCTATGAGTGACAACATGCAGTGTTTGATTTTCTGTTCTTGTGTCAGTTTGCTGAGAATGATGGTTTCCAGGTACATCCATGTCCCTACAAAGGACATGAACTCATCGTTTTTTATGGCTGCATAGTATTCCATCATGTATAGGTGCCACATTTTGCCTCTCCAGTCTATCATTGATGGGCATTTGGGTTGGTTCCAAGTCTTTGCTATTGTACACAGTGCTGCAATGAACATTCGTGTGCATGTGTCCTTATAGTAGAACGATTTGTAATCCTTTGGATATATACCCAGTAATGGGATTGCTGGGTCAAATGGAATTTCTATTTCTAGGTCCTTGAGGAATTGCCACAGTGTCTTCCACAATGGTTGAACTCATTTACACTCCGACCAACAGTGTAAAAATGTTCCTGTTTTGCCACATCCTCTCCAGCATCTGTCGTCTCCAGATTTTTTAATGATCGCCATTCTAACTGGCGTGAGATGATATCTCAATGTGGTTTTGATTTGCATTTCTCTAATGACCAGTGATGATGAGCATTTTTTCATATGTTTTTGGCCTCATATGTGTCTTCTTTTGTAAAGTGTCTGGTGATATCCTTTGCTCACTTTTGAACGGGCTTGTTTGTTTTTTTCTTGGAAATCTGTTTTAGTTCTTTGTCCATTCTGGATATCAGCACTTTGTCAGATGGGTAGATTGAAATTTTTTTTTCCCATTCTGTTGGTTGCCTATTCACTCTAATGACTGTTTCTTTTGCTGTGCAGAAGCTGTGGAGTTTGATTAGGTCCCATTTGTCAATTTTGGCTTTTGTTGCCAATGCTTTCAATGTTTTGGTCATGAAGTCCTTGCCTATGCCTATGTCCTGAATGGTTTTGCCTAGATATTCTTTTGGGTTTTTTATGGTGTTAGGTCTTATGTTTAAGTCTTTAATCCATCTGGAGTTAATTTTAGTGTAAGGTGTCAGGAAGGGGTCCAGTTTCTGCTTTCTGCACATGGCTAGCCAGTTTTCCCAACACCATTTATTAAACAGGGAATCCTTTCCCCATTGCTTATTTTTGTCAGGTTTGTCAAAGATCAGATGGTTGTAGATGTGTGGTGTTGCTTCCAAGGCCTCTGTTCTGTTCCATTGGTCTATATCTCTGTTTTGCTACCAGTACCATGCTGTTTTTGTTACTGTACCTTGTAGTATAGTTTGAAGTCAGGTAGCATAATGCCTCCAGCTTTGTTCTTTTTGCTTAGAATTGACTTGGCTCTGTGGGCTCTCTTTTGATTCCACATGAAGTTTAAGGTGTTTTTTTTCCAATTCTGTGAAGAAGGTCATTGATAGCTTGATGGGGGGATAGCACTGAATCTGTAAATTACTTTGGATAGTATGGGTATTTTCATGATATTGATTCTTCCTAACCATGAGCAGGGAATATTTCTCCATCTGTTTGTGTCCTCTCTTATTTTGTTGAGCAGTGGTTTGTAGTTCTCCTTTACATTGTTTGTTAGTTGTATTGCTAGGTATTGTATTCTCTTTGTAGCAATTGTGAGTGGCAGTTTGTTCTTGATTTGGCTCTCTTTAAGTCTGTTTTTGGTATATAGGAATGCGTGTGATTTTCGCACATTGATTTTGTATCCTGAGACCTTGCTGAAGCTGCTTATCAGTTTCAGGAGATTTTTGAGCTGAGAAGATGGGGTCTTCTAAATATATGATCATGTCATTTGAAAATAGAGACTATTTGACTTCCTCATTTCCTAATTGAATACCCTTTATTTCTTTTTCTTACCTGATTGCTCTGGCTAGAACTTCCAATGTTATATTGAATAGGAGTGGTGAGAGAGGGCATGCTTGTCTAGTGCCAGATTTCAAAGGGAATGCTCCAGTTTTTGCCCATTCAGTAGGATATTGACTATGGGTTTGCTGTAAATAGCTTTTATTATTTTGAGATACATTCCATCAATACCTAGTTTATTGAGGGTTTTTTGCATAAGGTGCTGTTGAATTTTGTCGAAGGCCTTCTCTGCATCAATTGAGATAATCATGTGGTTTTTATCTTTGGTTCTGTTTATGTGGTGAATTCTGTTTATAGACTTGCCTATGTTCAACCAGCCTTGCATCCCCGGGATGAAGCTTACTTGATCATGGTGGATAAGCTTTTTGATATGCTGTTGCAATTGGTTTGCCAGTATTTCATTGAAGATTTTTGCATCTATGTTCATCATGGATATTGGCCTGAAGTTTTCTTTTCTTGTTGGGTCTCTGCCGGAAATTGGTATCAGGATGATGTTGGTCTCATAAAATGATTTGGGAAGGATTCCCTCTTTTTGTATTGTTTGGAATAGTTTCAGAAGGAATGGTATCAGTTCCTCTTTGTATGACTGATAGAATTCAGCTGTGAACCCATCTGGACCTGGGGTTTTTTTGGTTGGTAGGCTGTTGATTACCACCTCAACTTCAGCCCTTATTATTGGTCTATTCAGGGTTTTGCCTTCTTCCTGGTTTAGGCTTGGGAGGATGTAAGTGTCCAGGAATTTATCAATTTCTTCCAGGTTTACTAATTTTAGTGCATAGAGTTGTTTGTAATAATCTCTGATGATGGTTTTTGTTTCTGTGGAATCTGTGGTGATATCCCCTTTATCATTTCTTATTGCATCTATTTGATTATTCTCTCTTTTCTTTTTTATTAATCTGGCTAGTGGTCTGTCTTTTTTGTTGATCTTTTCGAAAACCAGCTCCTGCATTTATTGATTTTTTGATGTTTTTTTTTTGTTTTTTTGTTTTTTGTTTTTTTTTTAATGTCTCTATCTCCTTTATTTCTGCTCTGATCTTGGTTATTTCTTATCTTCTGCTAGCTTTTGAATTTTTTTGATCTTGCTCCTCTAGCTGTTCAATTTTGATGATAAAGTGTCGATTTTAGATCTTTCCTTGCTTCTCATGTGGGCATTTATTGCTATATATTTTCTTCTAGACATGGCTTTAAATGTATCCGAGAGATTCTGGTATGTTGTGTCTTCATTCTCATTGGTTTAGGAGAAAATCTTTATTTCTGCCTTCATTTCATTGTTTATCCAGTCAACATTCAAGAGCCAGTTGTTCAGTTTCCATGAAGCTGTGTAGTTCTGAGTTAGTTTCTGAATTCTGAGTTCTAACTTGATTGCACTGTGGTCTGAGAGACTGTTATGATTTCCTTTCTTTTGCATTTGCTGAGGAATGATTTACTTCCAATTATGTGGTCAATTTTAGAGTAGGTGTGATGTGGTGCTGAGAAGAATGTATATTCTGTGGATTTGGGGTGGAGAGTTCTGTAAATGTCTATTAGGTTTGCTTGGTCGAGGTCTGAGTTCAAGTCCTGGATATCCTTGTTAATTTTCTGCCTCGTTGATCTGTCTGTTATTGACAGTAGAATCTTAAAATCTCCCGCTATTGTTGTGTGGGTGTCTAAGTCTCTTTGTAAGTCATTAAGAACTTCCTTCATGTATGTGGGTGCTCCTCTATTGGGTGCATATATATTCAGCATCAT